GTCTTTTAGTAGCTTTTGAGATGGTGTTCTATATTCATAATATGAATTGTCAGATCTGGATTTCTGATACTATTTTAGGGAGTCCATCAGAACATAAAGACATTTTCCTCCAGGTTTAATATCAGGTATTCATTAAGGCTTTTCAACACTTCGGATTTTATCTTTAAAATGTGATTTGAAACATACAGAGTGTGAATTGTACACCTATCTTCAACACTTTAAAGCAGCTGTACTGCACATGGCTGCCTGCACTCTGAAGATCAAAGTGCATGGGACCACTTTCCTTCCTAGTGTTAATCAATGAGTGTTAAACTTTAATTTACATTAATAGCAAATTAAATATTAAAATGTAGTTCCTACCTGAGACCCAGTTTGGTTTAGTGGTGAACAGCTCCGGACTAGAAGCTGGAAGATCATGAGTTCCTCGTCCTTCCTTAGGCACAAAGACCCACGTGGAAGAAGATAATGGGAAACCGCTTCTGAAATGTTGCCAAGAAAACTCCAGGGACTTATCCATGTAGTCATCAGGAGCCAAGGTTGACTTGAAGGACCATAACAAGTTCCTATGTAGCCAAAACTGCATCATCCATACCAGTGTTTCTCAACCATAGCAACTTTAAGCTGTCTAGACTTCAACTCCCAGAATTCCCCAGCCAGCATTAAATTAAATTAAATTAAAGTTGCTAAGGCTGAGAAACGCTGAGAAAATGTTGGCAAAGCAAATAGGAAACTTGGAAAGAGGGGGAACAGAAGGGAGATGAAAGCATGGCTGATCCCTCATTGATCCACATTGTTACTGGTCTGACTTCTGTTTAATTATTAAGGCAAATCCTATACATCATTGAGAAGAACTTATGACCCTCCAGTTTTTGCTGAAGTACAGCACAAAGAAGATGCAGCCATGAGAAATTTAAAAAGTGAGCAGTGTGATCATGAAATGATTAAAAAGGCAGCTACTATTTTGGAAATCTAATGGGGTTAGTTTAAGCAAATGACCAAACATGTAATTAAAAAATTATTTATTAAGCAAATGTATATAGCTGCCCATCTCACCAAAGCAACTCTGGATGTGGTGCACCAAAATTTGTTTTCTTCACTTTTTACATAAAACAAACAAAAAACCTTGCAGCCTCCTGATTTTGTACCCTTAACCTATTGTACAGAATAAATGTCAGCAGTGTTTTGTGTCTTTGTATGTGTTACAGCTTTCATGAAATGGGAATTTATGATATTCCTGCAACTATAAACTTTATACTGCAAAAGACAAAGCAAGATAGTTTATATTACATTGGTCATTCTCAAGGTGCTTCACTGGGTAAGTTAAGAACGGATCATATTTCATAAGTGCATCCTTCTTGAACAATCAGTGATCAGTGCATCATAGAATCGTAGATGTTTAATGATAAATAGTATATTTAATAATAAATAGTAATGTTCATATTTCAGTGAGAAGTCTAAAAGGGATTAAAGGTATTTATGGAGAATAATGAATACATTATCTTTCATTATTTTTTAACCCTTTCATTCTTTATTTTTTAAAGGCTTCTTGGTGGGAATGGTAGTAAATTCTGTTAATCGTAAATTGTATGGGAAATACTACCGTTTGTATATCTTCGATCTATTGCCTTTCTCCCTTGAAATCACTCAGTGGTAGGCTGTAGAAATCATTTAGAAAAATAGTTCTCTTGTTACCTTAAATCCTTATCAAAATGAGGAGACCAAACACAATGAAGTAATATTTATGCCGAGGGAAATTAGGAAAGAAACAACAGAATATCACTTAGGATCAAGAATGTCCAGTTTTATTACCTAAAAAAGGTTTGTCAGAGAGATGACAAATGATTCTCCAGCCATTGCTGAGATACAGCTCCCGTAGTTCCCCATCAGTGGCCAAACTGAATGGATTGTTGGGAGCTGAAGTTCTACAACATCTAGACAACCACATATTGCTTTCCTCTGCACTGAGGGGAAAAGACGTTATTGTGAAATATGAAGAGATGATGGCCAGAAGTATATGCCCAAGGTTAGAATATAATAGTCCCTTGAGAGCAAGAAGTCTATCTTGAGATATTGAAAGATATATAGGGAACAGAGAAGAGGATAAATGCAAATACAAAAGGGTCACATCACCCTGGGCACAGAGAGAACTGCTCCTGTCTGTGCTCCTGCACTCTGAAGATGCCGGTC